AAATTACAGCCATTCTATATTTTTATATAAAAAATATCATAACGCTTGTGTTAATAAATTATGCTTTATTTTTTTATGATATACTAATATTATTCAATATATATATGAGATTCTTTTAATTGACGTTCCTGATAATAATCTTGCCTCGGCCACTGTTATTAGGTAAAAAAATTTAAAATATTTTTTTGACATATATATCGATAATTATGAAATTAAATTTATCTTAAAAAATAATGTAAAATCATCTCGTTAGTCTAACTGATTAAGCTTTTTGGTTGATTTGTTTTTTGACATAGTATCAAAGTTTTATTTACCAAACACTTTGAATCCTACCACTTTCATGTGTAAGTTTACCACCTCCACATGCAAGTTTTTCTAATTTAACAAGCTTTTATTGAAACAGGTGTGTAATAGAGTAATATAGAACCTCTTATTAGATTTTATTTAACAACTTAATTTTTTAGGTTGATTGTTTTTTTTTTTTTTTTGACATTTTAGTGTCTAATTAAGTAAATAATTACAAAATCAAGTGTTAATATGATAAAGTTAAGTGTCTAATTATGCTAGTTAATTAAATATTAGCAAATATTCATTATAATTAATGCATACTTTATAATTTTTTTAAATGATTCACTAAAAAATGTTAAAAATCAAGGACAAATTCGAAATATAAATATTAATTAATGAGATGTATTTGCCAAATATATATATATATATATATATATATATATATATATATATATATATATATATATATATATATATATATATATATATTCAAAAAAAAAAAAAAACCAAATTAATATAAGAGACATGATTTACTAAAGTTAAGATGGTAATGTATGCGATTTGAGGTAATTTAGTGGTGAGTGTCTTTGTCATTTAATTCTGTAGAAAGATTTAAGATGTATATTAGTATTCATTTCTCTCTTTAGGTGAAAAGATCTTGATTGATTAGCTGGGATAGTTTTAAACCAATGTGCTGCACGTAGTTACAACTTCTTTTAGACTCGGGCGCTAGTGTTCTTGCTTAAGAAGAAAATAAAAATTAAAAAAAGAACACAAGTTGCAGGTTAGGATAAGAAGAAACAAAGAAGGTATCTTTGCTTTTGAGTGGACAATATATTTAGTCCCCTAGTTCTCAAAATTAATTTACTATCATGGTTAGATAGTTGGTTCCATTTTTAATCTAAAAAAAAAAATTGTTGCATATTTTTATTTGAATATGTTACGAGTTATTAGAATAAATAAATAATATTAATACTGAAGTAGATAATTGATTCCATAATTAAGTGATGATCTCTAATAACTTTTTTTTTTTTTTAATTGCGTCCTAGCAATAAAATTGTGTTTTATTACTTGCAGAAAACGTTCTCCCACAAGGACAATGGTCGCTACGTTCACTAGCCCACCCACGATGACCATCCATGTATAAAATATGGAGAGAAGGTGGCCTCGATGCCAAACATCTAAGGTAATATATATAATTTCAATATTTGCATATTAATTAATTAATTTCAAATATTATTGATATAATGGAACTAATCGATTCATATTTTAATTTTAGGAAAAAAGAAGAAGATTTATTAGCAAAAAAATACAAGTAATTGCAATAATTGAACTTGTGTTTTTATCAAATAACGAGATATAAAAATTAGCGAGTACTTAAAGATTATGATTGTCGCCCGTTGAATGTGAATCCCTTATTTGATTCCTTATATTTGGTGCACTATTAGCATCTCCTAGGGATCGAGTAATTATAGCCAATGTCTTGAACGTCTTAAGATTCACATTTAGGCTCGGGTTTAAACCTTGGAGTTGTGTTAGGACTAATAACATTATTTCTTGATGCAAACTAGCTTTTTGCTCTTCTAGCTTTTCTTCCGTTTTTGTTTTCATATCTTATGTAATTTCTTATCTTTGTTAAAGGAAAAGAATCATCCCCCGCTCTAGAGGAAGGTGCGGGCAAGGCGGCGATGACGTTACCAATCCTATCTCGGTCCAGTCCTAATTAGCCTCTTCCTCTCTCTTGTGCATGCAAGGAAGGGGGGATAGAACATATAGACAGAAAGGACTTTCCCAGTACCGCCCCTAGGGAAAAAAGGACCCCGAAAAAGACTCTTTCCAAGAAACTGTCTGGCTTACTTCTTGCTTAGCGTGGAAGCAGAGCCAGAAAGACGAGGGAAGACTTATAGCAGACAAGGAGCGCATATGCATCCTATAAGGAAATGGACAAGCATTTAGTAATCAAAAGGAAATCAATCCACCAAAAGGTCAGTTTGAATAAAGAGAATAGAGTACTAGAAATCCCTCGAAGGGAAGGCAAAAAATAATAGATTAGATATTCGAAGGGAATCCTAGTACTTTTAGTAGAATATACTTTTAGATCGTTAGCCCCTTAGAGCCTTAGGGAGGTACAGTAGAACCAATAAAACCGCTGTACAGTGGGACTTCAATTTGAAGGGATGTAATAGAAACCGCAGGTAAGGCAACTGGCAAG